TTTTATAGGTAATTTCTTGTCCCCCGATTCGCTTGAACTAGACGCTTGCTGCGAACATTGGCTGTTCACGGGAGATGAGCAGTCGACGTGTTCGGGAGACGTGCCTCTTGACTCAATTTTAATCGTTGTAGGCTGTACAAAATAATAATACATTTACGTAATTGATGAGTGCAAAAACTTATTAATGTTAAGATGATTTCATAATTTTTTTGTCTTAGTATAAAACTTAAGTTACAAAGTTAGAATTGTTTTGTTATAAAATAGAACTTTTTTAATTGCTACTAATTTTTTTGCTCGCGTGTCTCATTACATTTTTGATTGTTATTTAAAAATCAGATGTTATCAACAAGCATCGCCATCGGTGGTTCAGTGGTTTAAAACTCGCCCGCTCCGTGGGAGGCCCAAGTTTTAATCTCAGCTGTGGAAGAACTTTTTGGATATTAATGATTTTGAAAGTTTCACTTGGTTTTTAAACTTCTTTAAATGTAATATTTGTTGCTAATATGTTTAAATTGTTTTATCTAATTTACTGGTGTAAGTTATAATTTATATTATATACAAACTTTCACCAGCTATTTTAAATGACTTCATTAAAGGAATATTGTAAAAGTTTGTGCTTAGTTACACTAAACAGTTTAAAAAAAATCATATATCTCAATCCAGCACATAAGGTATATGTGTAGCAAATATCACCCAGAGCTTTTCAGCAAATCTTTTCAAATAATTTTACTGGCTAAAGGCGCTGTCCCACAACCTGTGTTGTTGACGCAGGGTTCAAGATTTAGCAGTCTTTATACAAGATATGAGACAAATAGAAATTTCGTACACTTTGTTATGAGATTAGAACAATGTTGACTGTATGTGTCATGTACACAAACTAAAAATATTATCAGAAAGTAAATAAATGTCCAGCCCACAAAGGATCGTCTCAGTAAGTTCAGATTCATTATGCCTTCACTAAATGCATCCTAATTAGTATCATTATGTCTTGTCATGCATAGAGACGGCTAAATCTTGAACGTTTGAGTTCTCATATATTTGACAACACTGCGCGGCGCGGCCTTGGCACCGAACACACAGATCGTGGGACAGCCCCTTAAGTAACATGTTTTGTCGACGACTTCCGCGCCCGAGTGGTTTGTTTGTTTCATGGTGTCGCCGACTCGAGAGGTCCCTGGTTCGAATCCCGATCGAGGCAATGTTTGTGTGATGAATACGAGCATATGTACTCCAGTCATGGATGCTTAGTATGTATTTCTATATAAATATACTTATATATGTATTCTATCCATTACCCTAGTAACCCATAACACAAGTCTTACAGTGCTTACTTTGGGGCTAGACTTATGTTGGTGTGTTGGAAATATTTATTTATCTTTCACATAATATATAATTATAATATTAGCAGGATTACATAGGGTTGCCAACTGGCCTGTTTTCTCAGCACATGCCCTGTTTTTTGGGTGTCCTGGGAGTTTGGATGTCCTGGTTTGTTTCTAAGAAAATTTCTGGTTTTGTTTCAGCTTGGATTTACTAATTCTCGGGAGTGTGCAAATTTACGTGCAAGATTTTAAATCACACCCCTGATTGTACTGTGTTCGGTTTTTAAAACTTAAGAACTAGTTTTTTCTACTTCAATCCAAGTTTTTCTTAAATTGTGGTTGGCAACCCAAGGATTACATAGTGTTTTAATGGTGTTGATTCTGACATGATTCTCTAAACCTAAAGCCTCAATCAGACGGGGCGAATTTACAGGCTACAAGCCAGTGAGTTCGCTAGTAGCTTGTAAACTAACCCTGTATCATCGAGTAGCAAATGGTAAAAAAGCCGATGATGACACGGGGTGAGTTTACAAGCTGAAATTTAAATTTAAAAAGCTAAATTCGTTAATTCGCTGGCTTGTAGCTTGAAAACTCGCCCTGTGTCAATGAGGCTTAAAACTAAATTTAACATCAATCTCTCTTTTTAATTCTGTATAGAGAATAACAAGGAAACACTGTTGTCAAATTTAAATTTATAGAATCATGCCAGAATCAACACCATTATAAAGATGGTATGGCTTATATTTTACCATTGGTATTTTTGTCTCCCTTTCTGGCTCTATAAAATCCTGCCCCATTATTGAGAGGATTTTCAGCTCTAATTGTGAAAGAAGGTGTATATTTTTGCTTGTACCGCTGGCTGCCCATCTGGTGACTCCCATAGCTTTCTTAGTAAGATGCTTTCTGTCTGCCCATAACTGAAAAGTCAGATCAATAAAAAGGTTGAAATAAAGAAGATTTTCCTCCTGTCCAAAGTCTGGCATGAGTAGATTTTTTTTATAGTATAATTTTCTTTAGATTTATAAGTTTAGAAATTTTATGCTTGCGACACTACTCAAATATTTCAGACACATAGCTCGTAGAAACTATGACAGCCCAGAGAAGCTGATGTTAGTTGGCTAGGTTGACCGGAGAAGATCACGCGGTCGTTCACCTAACCGCTTGTCAGACCTAGTTAATTGTCGCTCACGGGCCTAATAACCAAAGCTATAAAGACTGCGAAAACGGGTGCTCAACATTTCAAGTTAGACAGGACCTTCAGCAATGAAGATAGCAACTAAGAAGAGAAGTTTCATGCTTAAAATAAAAATTTAATAAGGTAGAAATCTGAAAAGATACCTAGCAACTGTTTTAGATTACTCAAGGTATTTGGAATGACTACAAACATAAAAAATAAGCTGATACAGTGCAACCAAGATCACATAAATGACATTGACACTACACTTTTCTATCCAAAAAAAATACCTATTTATGCCTTCCTAAAATTAGATCAGAATTCGGCAATGCACCACAAGAGCTTGGTCACACTGAACCTACATATTTGTTTGCTTGTGTCATCGTTACATTAATGTTTATACATGGTTTATACAAAACTAGCGGTCGCCCGTGACTTCGTCTGCGTTAACTTTTACTTTTTTTCCTTCTAAAATAAAAAGTAGCCTTAGTTACTCCTTATAACATCAGCTACCTGCCAATAAAAGTTCTGTCAAAATCAGTCCAGTCATTTCAGAGATTAGTTAGAACAAACAGATAGACAGACCAAAATTGTAAAAAATGTTATTTTGGTGTATGTACTGTATACATATATGCATGTACCTACAGATTTTCTTTTGTATTATTAGTATGTTAATGTAACTAGCAATATTTTATTTATACTAACCTTCTGCCATTGCTCCACCGTTTTATGATTTCCCATAGAATTAAGGGAATTGCACAGTTTGGCCCAAAGGCGTTTGGCTCTGACTCTTCCTTCGGGACCCCTCAATAAGCCACGAGCTAACGCCTTCTCCGACTCCATGAATTTGAGAAGAGCCTCTAACTGCTCAATGGAAGCCGGTGGGGATTGAGGCATTGTAATTATTTAAAACAATCGCAGCGTCTTCAAATATTTCGCGAACACACGATTGCCAGTTGACACTGACAGACAGACAGTATCGTTCTGTCTGTCAGTTGTGTGTGTGTGTGTGTGCAGTGCTGCCAACCCGAATTTTAGAAAATTAGTAGATTATGTGCCAAATGTTGGTAGAAGTTGGTAGAATGTAAAATGCAAAATTGGTAGATCTACCACCTCAATTTAGAAGATTTTTTAAGATTAAAAATGCATGCAATGCAATGCAGAGCACGCTTCAGATCACACTTACATGATTTGCATGAAAAATGTCCGTCACCCTTAGTAATTTCTTAAAGCCAACCTGCAAATTCCTTGTCTTTCTCCCATAATTTCGAATATTTTTGGTCATAGTGCCTTTTTCTAGGTTTTCGTGGCGAAGTTCCTAACCTAGAACTATGTGCATCGCTTTCGCTGCTGTCAGAATCCATTATATAAATAAATGCACGCAACATAGAACAAACAGCAATCAGCACCGTTCATACGCAGTTAATTAGTTTTTACAATAAAACAGGAGCAAAGATTCAACATTAATTCCGCAACAAACCAACCGGGAATAGGATATAGTAGGAATAGTAAAATATGGGCGCGAAATGGTGCGAACGCCGAATTCATGGCGAACTGTTGTTTTTTTTTTGTGGTTTATGGCCTGGACTCTATGTATGCTTGACGCATCGTTGCATGGCTCACGCAATACATCGCAACGTCGCTCGTCGATATAAAAATAATTCAAAGTGGTGATATGTCAAACTAATTAAAAAATAGGTAGATTTTAGGTCCAGGGTGGTAGATAGGTAGACTGAAGTGAAAATTGGTAGATCTACCAAAAAGTTGGTAGATATGGCAGCACTATGTGTGTGTGTGTGTGTTGTTTTTTTCTTGACGTAATTAAAGCAAAGGTAAACGGCAAATCTATGCAGCCATTGTTTATAGAAACCCACATTAGTCAAAAACATTAGATTGTGTAAAGACAAATATTAGAGTAATTAATGGAATCTTAAAAACTTTATCGTAGTGCTGACTACTCAGAAGCTTATCGAGGAAGCTGACTTGATACTTTTCATACCAAACATTGCAAGAAAAATTAGAATGCTTTATAATTGTATTCCAATGTAAAATGCTAAAGGCTATAAAGAAAAAATCTAAATACAAGACTATGTGAGGATAATTACCTTTGTCTACCAAGATTACAAAAAAAATGACGTTAACGTTTTTAAGAAAGAGAGTTTGACATTTCTCACAGGTATTTTGGATCGGAGAAAGGGGCTGCTCCTCGATCAATTTTCTTTTCTATCAGTCTCATAATATCTTTCAGTTTCATAGATAAGAAAGCTGTATTTTAGACATTATATTATAACAACAAGTGACCGTCTTTGTGGCGAAGTGCAACTGACAACAACGCTATTCTGCACCAAAACAAATACATCGTTGGGTACATTGTTCCGTCATTAGCCCTGTCGTTGTTGCCTACGTGTTGACTACTATTATTTACTCAAAAATCTCTTAATCGTTAGTCATAAAGCGATGCAACAGTGATAAGTTAAATAAATAAATCATCCCTCGGCTCAGTTATGAATAAGAAACCGTCCCGAATTGGCCCGAGGATACGAATAACGAGACCAGCGAATCGCTTAAGAAAATTCGACGACCAACTCTTACCAGCGCCTCCGATCGTCGACGAGAGAAAATATATATACACCTGCCAGTATTGCCGGCTGAAATTCGCCCAGAATAGCCATTATTTCCGACATATGGCGTCCAATCATGAAGTGCAACAGAGGCAAGCGACATTCGAATGCGACGACTGTCAAATCGTGTTTTCCAAGAAGACAAACTTGGACCTCCACTGTCAGACGCATCACCAAGCTAGAAGTAAGTCCAAATGCGAGAGTTGCGCTATCACATTCAAGTCGCGGTACTGCTTACGCAGACATCTCAAAATGAAACAGCAAATGCTGGAAAATACATGTCTGAAGTGTCAGAAAAAGTTCATAAGTAAAGAACAACTTACGAAGCATATTGATAACAAGCACACTTTCAAGAATGTCATGTTCCAATGTGACTTTTGCTCACTGAAGTTCAAAGCGAAGGAATCTCTAATGAGCCATTTGAATCGTATACACAAGAGATTATGATTATTTCTCGAAATATAAGTTAAATAGGCGAAACTGTACCTCTGGGGCCGGGGACTCGACACTAAACTAGTTTTCGGTGAGTGATGTGGTCATGATGTGTGATTCGAGTGAGCAAAGCGAAGCTCCGGAAAAAAAACAGATCTTATTAATAAACAATTGTAGAGTGTCAACTCCCAGCTCAAGACATACAGTTTTTAGTTAAATATAAGTAAAAAGTTTCTTTAAAGCAAAATTGTTATGAATGGATTCATGTTTTGATGGTTTTTGTATAGTATTGGGATACAAGTTTTGCCTTGGTAGCAAGGTGCTGTTTTTAATGTATCACACACATCAACAGCATATCTTAAATATTGTAAATTTATAGCATTGTTAATGATAATGTATTATGTACAATAATAATGTAATATGCCATCAGGGCTGGATTTAGAGGAGGCCCTGGGGCAACGAAGAAGCGGTTGCCTGATGCCTGTAGGCTGACTCGTAGAAATGTGGATGTTTTTTTAGATGTTGTGTGAGCCTCTTTTGTAGATGCCCCTGAGCAGTAATTCCGCCTGCCCTGACTTAATCCAGCCCTGGATGCTACTGTTAATGTTAGGCAGCAATAAACCCTTAAAGTTAATTAAATATCCACAAAAAGTAAACTTTGACAGTACCTGGTTCAATAAAAACATAGAACTTAACTCCAATAGAGTTTGTAGAGTTAGACAACTGAAAAAGAATAACTTATTTCTGTTTATGTTCAAAAATATTATAATATTGTGTTGCAAAAGTATAACTTTTTGACACAAATTGTTTATAACTAAAATAAAATGCCACTAGCATCCTTGAGCAATACCTTAAAAAAATAAGACAGAAAAGAATTAAACAGTAAATATTTTAAATACATAATGAAATAAGTGTTGGTCGGTACTTAACGCAACATCATAATTTATAGTAAATTTTATATTTTAATAATGAGAATAAACTCGGTAGGCTATTCGAAGTTTTGAGTTATTATGTCAATCATAAATATCATAATGCTTCTTTGCCACCCTTATAAGTATAAAAAACAAAAAGAAACTGTTATTTTAAGGCCCAGACACTTGTCAATTCTTTAGATTTATTTTTAAAGTAGTCTACAAAAACATTCATTGTATATAAATCCATTCAAGTAGGTTTATTTTGTCTTTACAAGTGTATATAAAGTATTTTGTATATTTATGTACTGTCAAGGTCAGGAACCTAGTTCATACTCATAGCATAAATAAAACAATATCCTATTTATGTTATTCTGTAAGGAATAACTGTAGGAACTGAGATTTTTAATATTTTTAAAGATGAACTTAAAAGAACGGGAATATGTCTCATTATTTTTCTATTTATTAGTTAAGTATTTATGATACTTTTACCCCACTACTGATGTAGCATAATATTCTTAAAAATACCTTATAAAGTATTTCTTATTTTTAATTATATGCGTTGTTCTTATTTTCTTTTATACAATATTCATTGCAGATATGATTAAGGGCGTGCGAACCGTTAAACGGGGCCGCTCTGCGTGTTTGTTTCATAGACTCTCCTTACGCTGCGCAGGCGCCGCTTTACGGTGCGCACGCCCTAACTGTTTATCGTACTCTTCACACGTGTGTCTTAACTTAATGGTAATAATTAAAAATAATGCCAGTTAAAATGGAGTAACATCACATTAATAAAAATAGATTTATCACTCATTATACTCCTACTAGCTTCTCAATTTTTGTTTAATCTACTATCAGCTGAGCTCTGGTATATGAAAAATCGGTGAACTAATTCTGTAACTATCATCACAGAAATCCCGACGTATAGATTAGCTTCCTAATTATTTATTAAAAATATTAAATTGAAAGATAATAAAAGATTTGAAATTAGGCAATTAAGGGCTGATATGAGTAAAATGAATATTTTGAGTTTTATTTAGCAATAATTGCATTGAATAATAGTAGGCAAGGGCGTCGCCAAAGGGCAAGGGGCAGAGGCGACGGTTGCCCCCCCCCCCCGCCCCCCCCTCCTTAGAGATCAAATCAAATGTAGGTAGCCGCAAAGCGACCAAAGTGCGAGCAATTGATTTCCCATTGCCCCCCCCCCCCCCCCCCCTCTTAGTCATAAGCTGGCGACGCCCTTGATATTAGGTATATCGATTTTAATGCATTATTACAATTGAATCTGTTTATCTCTCTCTCAATATTGCAGTACCTATCTAACTTATTGGTTGATAGTTAATGATCATTTTTTCTTAAAGTACTTATGACAGTATTTTTTTTTAGGATTCTACCTCAATCGGCAAAAACGGAACCCTTATTATCACGTTGCTGTCCGTCTTTCTGTAAAGTCCTATTATTTAGGAAAAAAAATATTACCTATTTCCCAGCTATAAAAAAATAAAACTTCTATGTTGACGTGAAACAGATTTATTTTGCATACCTACTAATTTGTACGGAACCGCCGAGCTGTGTTTTTCCAACTCTCACTTGTCCGTTTATTTTATTCTTGTTGCTGCTAATTTTTTCAATGCATTATCAAGAAGGAACAAATAACATTACCTAATTTATTTGTCGCTGATAAATTCGGTATATGAGTATCTAATGTGTCAACAAAATTAGATTGCTTCTGTGCTAATTTTATTACCTACTCACTGCACATACATATTAAGAAAAATTAAAATTTAGTTTTACTTATTGAAATAAAATGAAATGTATTCATAAGTGAATGTGTTCAATTAGTTATTAGGTACCTACATATAAGTAATATTTATTTATACATTAATATACAATACGAAAAAAAAATGTGATGTATTTAATTATTTGTTTATATAGTAAGTGCCACTGCTCCCGATTTTCTGCCACTCATCCAGCCTACTTCAGCCACCTTACGAATGTCATCATCCCATCTTGTCTTAGGGCGTCCTACACTACAGCACGGACTACAGTGGCGTGCATTAGGGGAGACCTATGTCCAGCAGTGGACGAGCATGGGTTGATGATGATGATAGTAAGTGCCAACTTATAAGCATTATCAGCATGGGCGTATTTTGAAATCTGGCGCCCTGTCCCCGTAGCATGAGCACCACAAATTACATTGTATCACGTTTTTATCATGTCTAACTATCAAACTCCATGTAATTTGACAATTGAGCGCGATAAAAATGCGTTTTATATCATGTCGCGGTGCGCATGCTAGGGCCACTTACCATTTATTTTCAACCCCTCCCCGTTACCCCCTTAGAATAAGTAAATCAAATCTTTATAGTAGGTAAACCGCTTAACTGAGCCCTTGCCTGCGTGGTAAAGGGTGTGGGGGAGGACGAAAACGGGGACCGTGAGAGGTGATGGCGGCAGGCACATTCTTGTCAAAATTACAAGCGCCCGCCGCGCCGCCCGCACCTCCCGAGGTCCCCGTTCTCTATCTATAGGTCAGAAACGAATGCCACATGTCGAGCCTCGTAACTCTTACAGCCGCCCCGGCTATGGCCCTTTTCTCCCTAGGGTATAAAAGTTCCAGATTATTACCAGCAAGACCGCGGGTAAACACTCGGATGTAACACCAGCATAAGTATTCTGTAAGATGCAATCTCAGTTACGATCTCATTTATCCTAATTTCTGACAAATGTCAAATATCTAATACTGACTACCTACTTCATGATCAAGGAGTAACTCGGTGATCATGGCGCTTGCAACAGTCAACGATATCGTTGGCCACAGTGCCGAAATATCGGAAACTCGCTGAAAACAAGGTACATAGTAACAAACCCGTAAATAACTTATATTGCTTTAATGTTAGTGACCATGAAAGTTTAAAACTGGCTACTTCTACCGGCGAGTTGTAATTCTAATTCAATGGCTTCTACAGACATAGCGACATTTTGCCATGTAATGGCGTAATGCATCTCAAACTAATGTCTAAAATGGCAGTTACCGAAATTGGTAGTGAGATTTCATTTTACAGAATCGTCCTGCTGTTGATAAGTATAAGTGAAGTAGATAAATTATTTGTGAATATTCCTGTGGCAGAAAAATTGCCACTTCATGGATCCTCACCTTGCCCTAGAATCGTAACTACTGACCACACCAACTTAATACCACTAAGGCCGAGGCCGTACTGGTACGGAAACTGTGACGTAACGGCGATTTTGTGAAAAAAAAAACTCATAACAAACATCGACAGTGGAAAAGCAAAATGCCTATATGCCACTTTAGTAACTTTACAGAAACGAGGATCAAAGGTTTTTTTTTCACAAAACAATCATAACTCATTGTAAATGAGAAGTAACGCCACAAAAATAAATACATTAATAAAATATTTTATAGAACTTCCTAATAGGAGGATATTTCCTACTATTAGAAAGTTATACAGTGCCTTTACGAATTAGATGTCGCTTATGCGACATACATCATCGCGTTCCGGTTTGCGATCGCAGAAATTGAGAAACTCATGCAATAGCCAGTCCTAAGATGGGTTGTTAAAGATTTACTATTTGGAGCCTGTGCCCCAGTAGCAGGAGCAGGAGCGTATTTTGAAATCTGGCACCTAGGGCACCATTTACGATTTGCATTTTGCAAAATAGGAAGATCAATGACATTTCTTTTAAGCCATGTTTATAAGTCCATGTTTTAAGCTAATTAATTTTTATTGTTTAGAAAATATCATATTAAGCTGTAAAAACTATATTAATAGAAATAGGTAACCGAGGTTCACACTTTTTTATTACTTAATTTGTTCTCATGAGTACCTACTCAAAATCTAACACGATTGGTTTCCATTCAATTTGACATTCGGCGTCTACCACAAGACCACGAACCACGGACCCCAGACCACGACCACGACAAGAGGAGAGCGTATGCAAAAATGCGGTTAGAAAGAAAAGACATACTGTTAATTTATATACCCATTTATATCGATCAATCAACAAATCGTCAAAGACAATCGGATACAAAATAAAAACAACAAAAACAAAATAGCAAGATGACAACAAAAATGCTAAATGTTCCCGTTTATACAAGTCCAATCAACAAACAATTATCACAACAACAATCATCAGAAGTAAGAGGATAATAAAGTTTACATTATACCAAAGAACAACTAAAGGATCAACTAGTCCTCAGCCCCCAAAATTTCCCGGTTCACCCCTGCCACTACCTCCATGACCGAGGGAGGGGGACGGGCCTCAGGGGGACACACAGGAAGCCCGCTCTTGACAAAAATATAAAAGCCCGGGGGTAGGGGCCCGCCGCTGAATATCCCTTGCCGCCTGGCGAAGTGACGCCCCACGTGACTGTTTATGATTGTTCCGCAGAGAATGCACTGCATCGACCTGCGGCGTCCCTTTATAGGCGCGTAGGTCCAGGGCAGCGGCAGGGGCGGCGCCGGGTACCTGCCAGTGGGGGCTCAGGGGGCACCAGGAGCGGCGAGCGCGATCTGGAACGGCTATGCGTGGCAGACTTTCTCCCCTCGGTCCCGGAGGAAGGGGGCGCCGAGCGCGATGAGGACCCGAGGAGCCCGGGAGCGACGGTGCCCTCGGTGACGATGCCGGAGATGAAGTCGGCGACGGCGACCCCGACTTAGCAGCGACTCTCGGGGCCGGCGGCGAGGCCCTCGACACTAGGGGAGCAGGACGAGGCCCGACCCCGGCGAACCGCCACCTCCGACACAGCGGGCAAAGCCGCCCTCCGCTGCCGGTGCCGGGATTTCGCAAGCGCCGACGGAGGCCGAGAGGGCGTCGGGGGCTGAGTGGACGACGGAGAGGCCAGCGGCGAGGGGGATCCAGGCCACGGAAGAGGCCGGGGAGGCGAAGCAGGCTACAGCCCATCAACGTCCCCTATGAGCCCATACACCTGTCCCAGGGACCTAGGACCGCAGATCACAAACCGGAACGGCGAAGAATAGTTTGGTATTGAAATAAAATAAATAATAAATTGGAATTTAATAAATTGACTTAATTTAATGTCAATAAGGAATAAATTAATTAGAATGATTATAATGAAATAATAATTTGAAATTTAATAAATTGACTGAATTTAATGTCTATAGAATTAAAGTTAAAATTAGAGTGTATAATATAATAAATTATAATATTTCGCCTTTTCATTTTAGCTCTTCACTGGCTGATTGTGATGTTTGTTAAAAATTGCACATGCTTATAAATCAACTTATTCAAAATATTTGAGAACTAGCTGTGCCCGGCGGTTTATTAGGGATATTTTACCGCAGTAAAACAAAGCCTAAGTTTTAATCCAGGGTGTCATCTACCTCCATACCAATTTTTATTAAAATCGCTCCAGCTGTTTAGACGCAAAGAAGTAACAAACATACACACTCACAAACTTTCCCCTTTATAATATTAGTGTGATACAGTGGTGCATCATTAGTCATATAAATAATAGACACCAATAACTGTATTAATAAATAAATTTCTGTGAGATCAATTACTTTATCTCCGCCCACTTTTCAAGGAAACATACATAAAGCTATATGTATAAGAACCATAGACAAAAAAATATAACAATTTCAATGATATAATTATGGATTTGCCAAGGTTCATGCTTAGGCCTCTGAGCAATACTTACATAATATTGATAACTCTATAGAAAGTAAAAAACTATGATGCACTAATTTTAAAAAAAAGGACAGGTTTAACAATCTCAATATTAAGAATAACTCCTTTCTCCAATTAAGAGCCATTTATAATTTACTAAAAATTTTTTTTTACTAGAACCTAAACTTTACTCGAGTTAATATTTCCTTTCAATATTATTGTCAGTGCATTTCCAAATTAACTGTATATAATAATATACTGACTGGTAATAAATAGAGTTTATGCCAAATGTATGACCTACAGGCCTGTAAGCCTATTCACTAACTGCTTTCGACAGATGCAAGTGATAATCACTGAGTTATTTAGTGATCCACTACTACTTTATTATAACACCACTAAAATACTTTTTCTGAAAATCATAGATGATTATACAATTATCTCTTTAGTGACATACTGTAGCAGTCAAAATAGTTAACGAATAGGCCGGCTGGTTTATTTAAATAATGTTACGACCAGGGCCAGATTTAGAGGTGTGGAGGCCGTAGGGCACTGAAGGAGTAGAAACCCTTAAATCTGGTTGGCGAATTGCCGAAATTGTTTTTTTTTTATCTCCATTAAAAGGGCCCCCTCAAGAGTAGGGACACTTGTGGGGGCCTGCGGGCCCTGCATTAAATCCAGCCTTGGTTACTACTATTGGCAAATAGAAATATTACAGAGGGTATATCAATTTATTTCCTCAAATTTGAACACCTGTTAGCAACCTCCACCTTCCATTTCTGTAACAAGTCATGAAAACAAAGAACCGTTCTTGTGTTTTATAAAAACCTTGTGTGTACAAGGTTTTTATACTATGATATCTAGTTTATAGGCTTTGGAAGAAGAACAGGTGCACCATTCCCATATTATGACACCAATCAAGATGATAATTCAATGGGAGCAAAAAATCTGCTGCGCCCAATTATGTGTTTAATATGGACAGATTATCAGGAGTTTATCATCACATTTTCACCCCATTTAAATGAACTTTTCATTTGTATTATTAAGTTGAGAAAATATGGCCACTCTCTTTATATCCTAAGTCTAGAACATAAATTTATTTAGTCGTCATCACTGTACAATGTCACTGGATTTAATCAATTTACCATTGAAGAGTCCCATTTTGTGTTTTTCTCTCACATGCCGGACTACATGGTCTTTCCTCTTGTAAATTTGACCGCATAACGGGCAGTTGGAGCTCTGGTTCAAATGTTGCGATTTGATATGCCTCACCATGTGATCTCTTCGCTTAAAGGTCGTGTTGCAGTGTGGGCACGTATGTCTTTCTGTCATCGAGTGCGTGTACTCATGTTTCTCGAGATCAGACAAACTTTGACACTGATAATCACACTCGCGACACCGAAACACCTCCGGTTTGTCAGAATGTTTTCTCTTGATGTGTTTCTGAAGAATATCTTGCCGTTTGCAGTCTTTACCGCACACGGGACATTTGCAGAACTTCTGGTCTGTATGCAAGCTCTGTACGTGCCTCTTTAGATGGTCCTGTCTCCTAAATGTAGCGTTACAGACTTCACAATGAAACAGTTTTCTCTGGCCGTGCATTGTTAGGTTATGGTGTTCATACTCGTTTAATTGGTTGAAGTTCAGGTCACAGTGGCCACAGTAACTGCTGTAAGGCTCTGTCGAGGGTTGTTTAACCTTGTTGTGTTCAGGAGGGCTCGCGAATGGATTAACGACGTAACTAGGAGCATTTTCGCTAATTATAACATTAGGTTCGTAAGGAGAACCGTTTTGCATGATGATTTTTATACTGTGTCTTATTGGATTAGTTTATTTATTGGGTTTATTTTACGAAAAAATCAACAAACAAAACTGAAAGAACAAGTATTTACAAACTGTCATTTTTTATTTTTAAATTCTGTGATTGTGAAGGCAAAGAGAAATAAGTATATGAAGCCTTATCGCCATGATTTTTTATTTTTTTGATTTTTCATACGATAGAATGAGGTTGTAATATTATGGTGGGTGCATATATATAGGATGTAAAGATAAACAGAGTACTACCTACCGCAAGCTCTGATCAATAATTCTATAGATAACGTATTGCATACAAAATAAAGTCCAAAATCTGTCCGTGTGTGTATATACTTAATGCCAATGAACAAAAACAAATGTTTTAAAACAGTTAAAGTTGAACCTAATAACAACCATGTCACAAAGAAATAAAGTTATAAATATTAAAATATTATTTCATACACACGACCTTTTATCTTATAAAACGCACAAAACAATAAATAATAACTGATACTTGGCAAAAAAAAAAATTAGGTATTTAAGGGTTTTTAAAGTGGCTTCCACACGATACAATTTTACGTCCAATTTGAATAGATTGACAAACGAATTGTGTTGTGTGGACGGAAATATGAAATTGAAGGTCATTGGATGGTCGGTATCGCTCGATTCGGGATTGCCCAATCAAATTGGATGGTGCTAGAGTTGTTCAAAGTAGCTATAAAGCAATAGCGTGCTGCAAACTATATGCTACTTTTAAAATACGCGCTATTATATACGTTATGTTAATAGCGCGCTATTTACTTGGAAGCTTGCGGCGGTCCGTTGCCACGTTAAATCTTGCAGCACGCTAGATGCTAGATATCGTTGAGTTTTATTATGTATTGCGTCACAATCTCGCAGGATCCCGGGTTCGATCCCTGGTCGGGTCAACTAATACGATTACTATTTTTATTTCTTTTATTTATTTTCACACGTCTAGATTATTGTTGTACCGCCATTTTTTCCGATTCCCTTGGCACAAAAGCTTTAGCTAAGTAATTTTAAATATTGTAAGTAATGTTTTACAATATTTATTTATTTTGATATCGTCTTATAAATATGCGATTATTAATAGTTTATTTCGTGATCACAAACTCTTATAAAAAATAATGTTAGAAACCACGCAATCTATTTATCGCCCGCGATAATAGTTTTCCTGCTGCGACGCGACGTTGCGAAAATTAATAGTAACGAACCGCTGCTATCCACGCGCACGCGATTACTAGCTGGCCTGCCTGGTAGCGTCGCGTCTAGCGCCTCCCGCTGCCCGCTGCCGCGCGCGGTCAATCAACTCAATATGTGCTATATAGCGTTAGCGTCTTGTAACTTTATTAAATAGCACGCGATACGTGCTATGGACAAATAGCGCGCTATAATATGGCGCTAGACGCTGTATTAACCACCTCTGGTGTGGACGCTAACTGGCCAATTTTTTAACGTAGTCACTGTGCAAGCGGCGTTCAGAGCGGATGTGTGCGTTGACTTGTCTTTTGAGAAGAAGATGGAGCAACATGACGACAATATTATGTCTATTCGATCTGAACGGGAAGTAATGGAGGAGATTTTAGATATATGTAAAGACTTGCCATGCCTTTGGGATGTGTCTAACCCATTATATAAAAATAAACAAGCAAGGCATAATTCCTTAGAGATTTTGCGGAATAAGTGGAAAAATATTGATAAAAATATTACTGTTATATTTTTTATTATTTTTAAAGAATGTAACTGCTTGATGTTTAAATCTAAAGAAAATATAACTAGAAAAAATTCCACGCGGACCAGGCAGTTATTTGTTAATGAAAATAAAAAATCATTTAATTAAATTTATATTTCTATTCAATGATATGCGCGCATGCTGGGGTAAAAAAGAAATAATATTATATATATATATTTATAATTTTTATTTTTTAAGCATGTAATTGCTTGATGTTTAAATATAATGAAAATATAACTAGAAAAAAATCTACGCGGACCAAGCAGCATACGGGACTCGAACCAGCACCCTTCGCAATCCGGGCGAATGCACTGACCAATGCCCGCACGGACCGTGTCGAAATTCTTCCAGCCATTCTTACGTTGCAAGGCAGCGCCATCTCTTCGCATTATAGGTAACCCACAATGTCAAATGAATACTTTTACAAGTATTAAACATTTGAAAGAAGAAATAGCAATTATAGTTATAATTTTTATTATTTTTAAA